CTGAGGCAGGAGGATTGCTTTGAGTTCAAGGCCAGCCTGAACTACACAATGAGAACCCACCTCATAATAAATAAGGAAATAAATAAGTGGATGGATGAGTTATCAGTGAGTGTTCACAGTAACCTGTCAGAGCGCCTGGGTATTAGGAGGACCACCCTTCTGTCTTCCACCTGTCCGTCTGCCTATCATTTAGGAAGCAGCCACCATACCCCAAGCAGTGAGGACAGGTTCTCCTGCCAGCAGAGCGCAGTGCCTCCGAGGGGTCTGTGGGTTGGGGAGGAGACTCCCTCGGCGTCTGGATCATGGGGCAGCTGTGGGGGTGACCAGATGGCAGTGCCTAGTGTGACAGAGACCCACTCGCTGCCACTTCCCAGTGCTCCAGCTCTGCCTCTTGGGACCACTGCTGGCAAGCAGGCCCTTGACCTACGGCTCCGTTCACTGTGGTCCTCAGTGGGGCTGGTGACTGTGGGGACCACTTTCTGCCATTCCTGGGGGAGCGGGCTCCTGGTCCACTGGCTGGGAGAGTGCCCCACCTGGCCAGGGCCCTGTGATGCAGGTGGGGTTCCTGATCCAGCTGAGGCCCGGGAGACACTGAGGGCATTGCCAGCCCCCCCATCAGAGCAGGACTCTGGTGCTGGTGGCTGTGCTGCAGGCATGCAGGGTGCTTTGCATGACAGTATGCTGGCACTTTCCCCCAGGTTGAAATCTGGCTTGGTCTTCCAGCACGCACCTGTCAAACACCCTGTAAGCCTTGGGGTGTGTGCAGCCATATCCTGGGTGATCGCATCCTGAGCCACAGGTGCAGCACCAAGGGTCTCTAGACAGTTGTCAGAAGGGTCCCCGCAGGCCTGCCCAGCTGTGAGCCACCATGCACACAGGCCTTCAGAGCTGCTTGTTCTGTGCAGCCTCGCAGCTGGAGGTGGTGTCCATGAGAGCAGGCATGCCTTAGCACTGTGACTACAGAGTGATCTCGAGTCACTTCCCTGCCCTGCCCTCTGCTCCATGCAGGTGTCCCCTTAAGGCTTCCTGTCAGCTCTCACGCTTAGCAGCAAACCACAGTGGAAAGCAAAGCAGTGAACCTAGCAACAGACAAATACCAGGGAGACTGAGTAACCAAATCTGGGTGTGGCCTGCATTGGCTGGCACTTGCCTGGGCTGGTGGCTGTGATGCTGATGTTCCTTGGATACGTGGAAACACCCCAGTTACCCTCCTGCTTTCCCAGGAGTCCCTATAAAATCAAGTTCCTGCCTAGGGCCTGTGCGTCTGGGAACTGCTTTTGAGATTTCCAGCATTTACCATTCATACCCTAAGCACGGTACAGGCAGCCAGAACTTCCCCAAACCTAACCAGCCCGCTCAGTACAGAGGTCCTGGCCCTAAGTGGGGACAGTGGGTGACAGGCCCTTTCTGGCACTTTGGAGGGGGCTGGAGATTCAGAGTCCTCTTGTTAGAAGGGCTGTCGTCGGTCACCCTTATCCAGTGGAGCAAGCTGAGCTCTGCACCGTCAGCCTCACAGCTCTTTATGCAGAGACCCTGGGCCCACGCTGAGCAGAGGTCCGACAGACTGGTCCCCTCAGTGCCACTCAGCTATTCAGGGTACCCCCAGCTCTGCTAACCTGCCCCAGGGCAGAGACTTGGGACTTCTCTTTGATTTCTTCATACTCGTAGATGGTTTTAATGTTGTCTTTGTTTTGTTTTTTGAGACAAGGTCTCACTATGTAGTTCAGGCTGGCTTTGAACTCAGTATGCAGCCCAGACTGGCCTAGAACTCACAGTGATCCTCCTGCCTCAGCCTTCTGATGCTGGGATTACAGGTGTGTGCCACTATTACTGGGAAGTAACTCCCAGCCTGTTAGATGAGCCAAGTTCCTGTCTCACAATGCCAAAGAATGGCCTCACGGACAGAGGAGTTAAGAGTAGGGAAAGTTTATCAAGAGACAGGAGGGTCTCAGAAGTGAGCTGCTGCTGAGCTGTTTGTCTAGGGTTTTTCTACAGGTTACCTGGGGTCAAGCTGTAATCGGCCTATAGGATTACAAGAACAGTCGCTTAGCTAATGTTGATCCAACAGAAAATCAGTGTGTGGAACAAAGGTCCACAGCACAGAGAACAGGCATCTTCAGAGCGGTAGGAGTGAGGACAGAGCACCCTGGTCCTCTATGTGCTTGTTACATTGTTTCTAGTGTGTTACATTCTTTTTTGTGTGTGTTACAGTGTTGCAGTTCACACATTGTTTGTGTGTTACATTGTTGTGGCTTACTGGTCTGGTTACAGCTCAGCTTTGAGCTGCCCTTTATCTCTGGAGAAGCTGCAGGCCTGGCCATCAGGTCTCCATCTACCGCCTTGTTTCTATCAGCTGACCTCCACCCCAGGCCTGGTTTGCCTCCTCCCTGCTCTGACTCTGTCTTTGCCTGGCCCTGTCTGCTGGTCCCTGTCTAACTGAGCTTTCTGCGATACCACCAAAGCTTTTCTGTTGCACTGCCAAGCTGCCTTTAGCGCAGAGGTGGAAACTTCCTGTGCCCCCGCATTTCCCATTCTACAGATTGTCTCTCTTCAGGGCCGCACCCCTCACCCTGACTTCTCCACGGACTTTCCCAGACCCAGGTCTACAGGCCCCAGCCCCTGGTCTTCACCCTCACAACTGACCTGTAGGAGTTAAAAAATTGGCACCCTGCGATTCAGGGCCTTCGAGGCCATTAGAGAGTCATTTGTATTAAATTGAATGGCAGGCAAATGCAGGCCCTCTACATTGTATTCCCCGGATCTCTGGGGCTCAAGACAGCAACCGAGGCGGATGTGTCAGTGTCCTGCTCACAGTGTGGACCCTCGTGTTGCTCCGGTAGCTGGGGACATCCTGAGATCGGGGTCCACACAGGACAGGCTGGCTGGTGCACTCAGGGTGTGGCACCCCGGCTAGAGGAGCATTGGTGTCGCCAGGAAGCCCCATCCTGATGCAGTGAGGAGCCCGCCTGCCCCTCACTTCCTGGGTCCTCAATCTGTGTGCCCTGGAGGAGAGAATTCAGTCAAGACTTGAGCGTGAGCTCAGGCCGTTCAGATCTTACTGTAAAGCAGATGCAGCGAGCGCTACACCTGCAAGTCCAAGGGCAGGGAGTGCCACGAGAGCATCCATGAGTTTGGATGCCTGTTATGCGAGTAACAGTTACCCTGGGCTTCAGAGGAGCGTGGTGATTATGACGCTTTGCCGGGATTCTCTTCCAGTTACTTTGGAGGGTTAAAATCTCAAACAGTTCTTCCCTGTTCTCTCAGGTGCGTGAGTTCCCTCAGAGGCTGTAATCATGTAAGAACCTGAGTCAGGTCGCAGTCCGGGAGGGACATCTTCAAAGCTCCCTGTCCTGGTGTCACTGGCCACTCTGTGCCTTGTTGTGGAAACAGACAGCCGGGTGGCCAAGAGCCATCTTATGAAGTCACCCTTGGGGTCGCTCTAGGTCTGAGACCTAACATGCCATAGATGTAGGAGAGAGCCAGGGGGGTGTGGGGTGGATTTTACCGTCCCGCTAGGAAAGTCTGGGCAGTGCCCGCGGCCCTCAGCTTTACCCGGTGCTGTAGAGAGGGCTGTCTGAGACTCTGGCCAGGCGTCTGTCCGGGCGGGACTCTGGCCCCATTTCCTCCCCCCCCTGTGCCTCTTCAGAAGCTGGCGCCTCCCTGGGCCCGTAAGGAGGGCCTTCAGGCACTGCTTGGGACAGGCAGAGCAGACAGGGCCCTGCCTGGCACCCTGCTCTTCGAGATGGGGGTGACAGAGTTGGGGTGGGGGCTTCAGAGCCTGCTTCAGTAGGTTAGAAAACTCACAGGAGAGGAGCAGTTGGCTTCCATCGTCATCTGTGAACTCTGTTGCTAGTAAAATTATAATTGTTCTCCGTGAGAAATCCCATTAACCCTACCCCTGCTTATGATGTAGTTTCAAATTACTTTTCCAATTCATCGAACCTTACATAAAGAAGAATTATACCAGCTTTAAAAATATGTGTGTGTATGTAGCTTGTTTCGAGACAAGGTCTCACTATGCGGTTCAGGCTGGCTTTGAGCGCGTAGCCATCCGCCAGGCTGCCCAGTGCTGGGATTACACCAGTTTTTAAAAGGTGTTCCAGTGAAAACAGGCTTCTAAACGCGAGGTACTTTCCTTCCATGGACAGCCTGGCACCTCGTCTTCCAGCCGCACCCCCTCCTCGGAGCCCCTCACCCGGCCCCGCCCACGCGAGGAGCGCCACGGGGTGGGCACGCACTGTGACCGCGTGGGGGGCTGCAAAGCCTCCGCTGGACCTGGGGTCCTCCCTGGCTTCCTGCAACCGCTTGGACAGGGGGCCGGGCTGGCGACTCTGGGTCCCCGCGTCGCCAGGACATGGGGTGCGGGGCGGGGCGGGATGGCCCCACCGCCTGGGTCTCTGCGGCAAGGGCGCCCGCAGTGGCCTGGGGGTCACCGCCCTCCACGCCAGCCCTGACGCGCGGACCCGTGGGGTCACCAGGCCCGGCAGGCTCCCGCCCAGGCGAGGGGCGTCAGCGCGGCCTCGGGAGCAGGTGCTCAGGCTCCGTCCCGCCACAGCAGGCCCCGCCCACGGGGCGCCCTCTGGCGCTGCCCGCCCCGTGACCCCGCGGGGCGGGGCTCCAGGTCTCCTCCCACTTCCGGAGGGCGGCCCGGCGCGGGGGTGGGAGCGTGCAGCCGTGGGCGGGGCGGGACGGCCCGACCCGCGTGGGAAAGCGGGGAGAGGTGGAGGAGCGCGGGCGGGTGGGCGGGACCTGCTGGGCGGTCGGGGACTGGGTCGAGACCCGCGCGCGGGGAAGCGACACCCGCGTGGCTAGAGTGGAGGACGGGTCGGACCGCGGGGGGGCGGGGACGGGGGCGGGGCGGGCCGAGGGGCGGGGCTCGGTGGCGCTGGCCCCGCCCGGCCCCGCCCGGCCACCTGCGCTCCGCCCGCCACCGCCCAGCGGGCGGCGTCCGCGTCCGGCCTGCGGGTCTTCTGCGGCTGGGTGCGCGGGTTCCTGCTCGAGTCAGGACCGCGTGGACGGCCCGCCGGGATGCGGCGACGCTAGCTCCCGCCCGGAGCGTCCCGCGAGGGAAGTGGGTCCCCCTCGGCGCCATGGCCAGCCCGGCGGGCGCGCGGAGCACGGAAGTGGACTGCCTGAGCCCGGAAGCCCAGCGGCTGGTAGGGCCCTGCGCGCTGGGGTGGGTGGCGCTGGCCGGGTCCCCGGGCCGGGCGCGCGTGGTTCCCGGGCGCGCTGTGCCGAGCCGTGCGTGGGCCGCAGTTCTCCGTGGGTGTCACCGGGCACAGCGCCCAGGAGGGGCCCAGCCGCGCCTCCGGCCGGAAGGACCCCGACCCCGGGCCCACGCGCCGACCTCTGGCTCTTCCGGGTCCTCGGCCGAGGCCCGCGCAGCTCTCGGCAGCGGCCCTGGGCGGGGGGCGGTTTGGCCTTAGCACTAGAAGGGGCAGGAGCGGGGAAGGTGAGTTTCCCGCTCCTGCAGCTTGTGGTGAGTTCTGAGTGGGATTACTGTAAAAGTAAAAAAGTTCGGTTTAGAAAAGAAATAGGGAGTTAGAACTGCGGGGGCGGGGGGGTCCCCTACTTTCTAGTCTGCCAGCGCGGGACCTTGATGACAATGTGAGTCCGCACTCCCTCAGGCAGCGTGACTCAAGCGCTGGTCAAGACCCACCGACCGCGGCGGCCTGGGGGACCTGACTAGGACGTCAGCGCAGGCATAGCAACCGGCCCTGATGAGCCACAGCCGAAAATTAAGTTCCTGCCTGAGGACTGTCAGGGCTATTTAGTTATTCATTGCAGTTCTGGGGATTAAACCCAGCGCCTTTGGCCTGAGGTGTATCCTCAGTCCTTTTTAATTTTGAGAGAGGGTGTCACTAAATTGACCAGGCTGGGCTTTAACTTGGGATCCTCCTGCCTCAGCCTCCCAGTGTGCTGGGATCACAGGTGTGCACCACCACGCCCGGCTTGTCGGTGTTTTTAACTGTTGTTTCGGGGCTAAATGTCCGTTTCAGTGCGCTGCTTGTAGGACCTCCTGTGTAGTCCAGCAGTAGGCCAGGCTTGGAGCTGGTTCCTACCCGCCGGTCTGTTGAGTTTCTCGGGCTCTGGGAACCTGCAGGGAGACCCCGGCGTCTAGGCGGGGCGGGGACCCGAGTGCTCCCTGATGCTGGCGCTGGGGCAGCCCGGCCAGCCCCGTGAAAGGCGCGGGTGCCATGGATTCTAGCGCCTGAGAACCGCTGATTGAGTGCGTGGAGGAGGGAGGGGTAAATGCCGAACCAGGCGGCCGCGCAGACGGGTGTCGGGGAGGAACTGAGAAGTGACCTGCGGGAGCTCCCGGGCTGGCTGCGCCTGCTGACCTAATGCCTGGACCTGCCCTGCCAGCGGGTCCAATGCTGCCCGAAGTGAGGAGAGTCCGGACCCAGCCCCATCCCTCGCCCCCAGTGTCACAATCCAGTAATCCCAGAAACCTGCAAGGGGCGCGTGCGCGTGCTTGTGTTCACCTACACGAATGTGTGGTCAAGTTCCTTTGGCAGTGAGGCCTGCTGTCATCCAGGAGGTCATTTTTAGTCTCTGTTCTCCAAATGTGAACATTCACACTCCTCTGCAGCCTGGCTCTGGGGTTGGGTACCGGCTGTTACTCTGGATCCATGCAGAATTTACAGCACTGTATCCTCTGCCCTTCCAAGCCCCAGAGTCCTGAGTTCTGAAGTGTACAGTGGACCTTTGACTTACGAACTGAGTTCGTTCCTGAGGGCTGGCTGTAACTCAGGCTGGTCAGTTGAAGGCTCAGGCTCCTCTACACAGCCCTCAAAGTCTCTCCTGTACTCGGGCAGATCTCAGTGTCCTTAGAGAGATCTTGGCCCAGGATTTCTCACTTAACCCCACACAGGAGAGGACGCTGTCATGTTCCGTCCAGAACTCTCTAAGAGTTAAATCTGTATCTGAGACCTGGAAGCACAAGCAGCCGGCGTTTGGGTCGTAACTCAAGACATTGGTTGTAAGTTAAAACAAATTCTGGTTGTAAGCCAAGTTGTTTGTATGTTGGGCTGGTCATAACTCAAGGATCCACTGTATTTGGTCCCGGGGTTCCCAGTGGGAAATTGTGGACCTGTGGAAAGTGAGGGTCTGGTTGGCTTGTTTTGGGTTTTGGCAAAACTTTGTCAAGAGAGACGTGGGGAGCAGAACTGGCCGAGGCCCCGCCCTGGGCGGGCAGGCAGCTGGAGGCTGGTGCCGTTGCGTTCTGCGTTGTTTCCCTGGCTCCTGGAGACTGGGGCTGGAGGAGGGGCGGAGGGGCCGGAGCTGCGTGGGTGTGGAGGAAAGCAGTGGGCAGGAGGAAGCAGAGACCGGAGCAGGAGTCTGGGCTGCCTTTGCAGGTCCTTCTGCGAGGTGCCCAGCGCGGCAGCTGTAGAAACCACGTTTCCTGAGCTGTCGCAACTTCCTCGTGTTCACAGAGGTTGTGTCACCTCCGCCCCTTTCCACACATCGAGGGGTGCTCAGCCCAGGCAAGCCCGTGAGGTACACTGGACACCCCTCTCCCAGGTCCCCAGGTCCTGGGCAGGGGGACACTGGTCCCTGAATGGTGGCCACTGGGGTCCTGGCATTGGATATAAAAGCGAGGAGTTAGGTCTTTTCTAGCAGCGTGGAGAGAGCCCTAAGGGTCTGTGCATCCCGACGCTGATGCCAGCACAATTTATGACAGTAAAGTCCTGGAAGCAGCCTGTGCAGCCGACAGTAGATCAATGGGTAAAGAAAATGTGGTGTCTGTGCACAGTGGACTTCTGCTGTGCCACGGAGGTGGGTACATCCGGGGCACTCATTCATAGGTAAAGGGTGCACCCTGAGATTGCAGTATTAGGTGAAGTAAGTCACACACAAGCTTAGCTATTGTATGGTTTCTCTTATGTGAAAACTGAAAAAATGTGTGTGTGTATATATATATATGTATATATGTATATGTGTGTGTATATATATATGTATATATGTATATGTGTGTATATATATGTATATATGTGTATATATATGTGTATGCAGAAAGAGAGAGGGAACAAAATAGAATATGGAGAAGTTGGAAGTAGCGAAATCTTTCTCAAATGGATGGAGGAAGCTGGGCATGTTGGCGCACGCCTGTGATCCCAGCACCTGGGAGTCTGAGGCAGTTGTCACAAGTTCAAAACCCGCCTAGACAACACAGTGAGTTCATAGTGAGACCCTGTGTCAGAAAATAACAATAAAAACCAACAAGTAAATGGATAGGGGAACAAGGGACATAAGGAGGGGAAGAAAGGGGGATAGAAAAAAGAAAGAATTGGAAAAAATGAAAATAGGTTTTGTAAATGGGGAGGGACCAAGAGTTGGAAGGAACAGGGAGAGAGGAGTGGAGTGGTACAAGAAAGTTTGAGACACATTCTATACTTGTACCAACTCCACAAGATAAATGAGGTCATCATGTCCTGCAGACATGTCCTAAAAAAATAAAGTGTCCTGCTGGGCGAGGTGGCACATGCATGTGATCCCAGCACTTGGGAGGCTGAGGCAGGACAATCACTGTGAGTGCAAGGCCAGCCTGGGCTGCATAGTGAGGCCCTGTCTCAAAAAAATGAAAACTAAAACCAGTATCCTACTTGGCTAAAGAGAGACTACATTTCCCTTTTTCTCTAAGTTTCTGTTCAGCCTGAGCTAATATCACACAGCGGAAGCCTCCTTAGCAAACTGCTCAAAGCCTTCGCTGTCTCAACTGCCACAGGAAATCGAGTTATTTATAGCTGCAAAACTGCTGCCCCACCACGCAGATTGCAGTGGCACCTGAGTGAGCAGAGGCCTGACTGCAGCAGGGTGGACTCCGGCTCCTCAAAAGGCAATGTTCTGAGGCCTCTGATCCCCGAGGAATTGCTGTGACTCAGCGGGGATTGTTTATGGCCTGGCTGCTTAGTCATTCCCGCCTTTCCAAAATATCTGTTTGCATTTAAGAGACCAGTGCGGAGCCCAGCGGTGTTTAGCTGTTCCAGCTACTGCAAGTGAACGGACTGGAGGGGAGGAAGTTTTGTCTTGCTGCAGGCCAATCATATTTTAGGGTTTTGTTTTTTTGAGGCAGGGTCTCACTGTAAGTACAGAAGCTCATTTTCATAGAATGGACTTACTTTCAGGATTCAGAATCTAGATGAAATTCAGTAAGTTAGCACCTTTCTCCCAAACTTAAGAAAAAATTATTGGGGCCAAGGATTTAGCTCAGTGGTTCCGCTGCCTGCCCTGCAAGCACAAGGACCCAAGTTTGATCCCCGGTACCCCCCCCCAAAAAATTATTATTCTGGACACATCCAAGTGTGTGTTTTTGGTTTTTTGGTAGCACCTGGAATTGAATCCAGAGCCTCATGCATGCTAGCTAGGCAAGTGCTGCACCACCAAGCTATTTGCCCTAGACCTTTTTTTTTTTACATTATTGAGACAGGGTCTTGTTTGTTTGCCCAGGCTGGTCTCAAACTTGAAATCCTCCTGCCTCAGCCTCCCTGGTATCTGGGATTCCAGGCATGCACTGCTATGCCTGGTTTCCAAGATTTAGTAATTCACAGTCACCATATGATTACAGACCACTGTTACAGTCCTCTGCCCCAGGCCAAATTCCAAAAGCAATAAACCAAAAATTAAAAATACACAATGAAAACAATAATAAAAAGCCAAACCAGAAATCCACCCAGCAACACAATGTGTGTCCTGAAACTTACTTGTTTACTTGTGGGCTGGCCAGTGCCTCTGTAACTCACAGCTTCAAAACCAAGTTAGTTTCCCTTAAATCTAAAGCACTTTGTAGTAGAGAAGTGATTTATATTAAATTACTATCCTGAGTACTACTGCTATTTGGGGTTTTGTTTTGTTTTGTTTTTTGTACCGGGGATCAAACTCAGGACCTTGCACTTGCCAGGCAGGGTCCGGAACCACTAAGCTAAATCCCTGACCCCTGTTTTGGACTAGGGAGAGGAGGAACTTTGTTTTGCTCCAGGCCATTCAAATTTTAGTGTTTTGTTTTTAAGACAGGGTCTGGTTTTGTTTTTTAAGACAAGGTCTGGCGGGCCAGGGATTTAGCTCAAGTGGTTCTGCCACCTGCCTCAAAAGTGCAAGGTCCCGAGTTCAATCCCCAGAACTAAAAACAAGCAAACAAACTAGACAGGGTCTGGCT